GGTTACCCATGCCCAATATAGCCAGGGTTTGAAAGATACTCACTCTGATACATTCTATGCAAAGGAGAAATAACGCTCATGACAGATGTGCAGGAGAGACATTGAAGATAATGAGAGTTTTCGATTTTCACTTTTAGGGGGTACCGGCATATGAGCTTCAATAACTCAAAAATTATTCGACAAAATCAAATGAGATTTTGGTTATATCTTTTTGAAAGATGATTGTAAAAGTTAGATAGGAATACTGAAAAAAATTGAAAGTTAAATGAATTTAATTCACCTCAAAAGTTTACCCTGCGTTTCTTTTTCCTTTCAGTATACATAAAGACAAAGAAGGAGCTTGCTCCATTGTGGTCAACAAGATTATGTTTCAATTCTCCTGTTAAGAACCGAGACAAGATTCCAACTGACGTTATTGTCTTTTGGCATACCTTTCTCTACATCTGTGCTTTTCATGCATGCTTCAAAAATACCCTAAACAAATGTTGCGCTTTTGTAATTTGGATGCAATTCTTCAACTTGTCCGTCCAAAGGGTTATCAAGGCCCTCTCACCATAGAAGCGAATGATAAAGAGGTAGATTTCTTTTATATTGAAAGATTAAAAAATCGTGCAATCGTCAGCTTTTTATCGGAGCATCCACTTGTAAAGGAAAGAAAGAATCGAAGGAAGAATAAGGGTCTAAAGACTCTGCTTAAGAAACACTATTAGCTCACTTGGGACGAAATTTTAAAGAATGTATGCTTTTTTTTTTTGCTGTGTAGTATGGATATTGTCTTTGATATTGTCTCTAAAGATTTTTCTTTTGTCGACCTTGTTTGTCATCGTGCATATTCACATTTCATCAATAAGTTAGATGTACAATGTTAGGCAATGTTGATGTAGAGAAGAAAAGTGCTTGTTAAAAAAAATCCTAATGAGAGCAAAGTAACATTTTAAAACTCTCTTTCTATATTAAGGTAAATGAATATTTTACTTATTAAATTGAAATATTTTTGAGTGAAAAGACGAGTAAACATTTACATCATGTGAAATTAGTTTTATCAAAACTTAAAATTTCCATACCTTGTACATTGAGGACGCGTTATACGACAAATTCATTGTCTTTTGTGAATCTTCGCGGGTCTGTTAAGGTAGCACATGGATCAGAAATTAGCAAATAAACTTTTTTTATAATTATGTAAAACTAATAAATCGGAAAAGTCAAGGATACTGATGCATTATATAGACTTCAATGGGACTTATAATACAGTAAGCACTTCACTACGACGTCATCACGTCATCATTTTGTTCGTAACATCGATAAAATGCATCAATTCCCGTAAACCATACGATTCTAGCAGAAATTTCCAAAAATACTAGAATAAGATCTTTAGATAGAAACAAAAATTAAGTGTCAAGGTATGCGGCGTAGCATGGAACTTTTGCAACTTTTTTGTTCCGAACGACATTAACGTATTTATGTACATTGCTGAAGCCTTCCAAAACACACAATTTAATATTATTTGAAATATGTTTTTTTTTTAAATGGCATTTTAAAAAAAAAATAAGAAAAAAGTTTAAGAGAAAATAGTGGTCCAAAAATAAGACTTAGACCCACGCCATCACGAGAAAGGATGTTCAAGCTTTTTCTGGTTTATTATTTTTCTTTTTTTTTTTTGCCGTTTCCCCTTCATTCATTCTGAAAGAACCAAGAAAAAACCCGTTGATATGGGACTGTTGACTACAGATTGTTTTTTCAAAGTAACTTGCAAGATACAAATCTATACTCGTACAGTCTCTTTATGTCAAGTTACAATTCTAGAAAAGGGGCTCCATAGATTTGATTTCACTATACGGAAAGTTCATTTTGAAAAGGAATCTTTTATTCAATTAACCATCCAATTTTCTTTACAAAAAAATGAAGTAAATGCAGTGGCTTGGCCATCAGATTGAGTGAGAAAAATTATATGCAATGTTCAGAGGTAGAGTTTAATTTGCAGTAAATTACGTAAATGAAGAAAATTTATACGAATTCAAATTCTATTTCTACAAAAAGTTATTCAGTAAGGCTATTATGACATCATTTGTAAATCACATCATGCAGGAAATATTAAGATATCGAACAGTTTTCAAGATAAAAATTCCAGTAAAACAACACAAAATGAGAACAGAAAGAATGGGCCTATCGAAATATAAGACACACAGACCGGTCTTCTGGCTGAGACGGTATCTCTGGTGTCTCTACGGTTTACAGGTTGGAGGAGTAGATATAACAGGGTTTCTTGTGCAAGGGATAAGAACTCAAAAAGGGGTAATAATTCATAACCAATGCGTTAAATCTTTCCATGATTTTATTGACCATTACGATGAACCAAAACATATATCAGCAGAAGAAATTAAAATTAATGCTCAGTGAACAGAACAATTTGAATAGGTCTTTCAACAGAAAAGTTAATTTGGTTACTTGTAAAATAAAATCACCAATAAGAGTGAACATCAGGTTACAATTTTTAATTCCTTATACATCGCTTGTCAGTTTTACAATAAAAAAAATAACAATAATAAATCAGCATATCGCATACTGTTGACAGATTGTTTACTTTTAATGTCATTTTGTGCACATTTTTTTGCTTATTGACATTTTTTTACTATTATGCTTTTGGTACTTTTGGTTGGGGTGTTTTTGGCATGTGACTAGGGAGAAATATTTTTTACCAATATTTTTAACAAGTCAATTTGTCACTACCACAATACAGTGTAAGTTGTTTTCAGCCCATAAGTTTATGGAATATGAATTGTATATTTAGTCATTTGTTATTTTAATAAATGACATTTTCACTCCATTGTTTTCCTAATAATTTATACAAGAGGTTAAACATACTAAACATACTACTTGCGAATAGGCAGAACTGTCTTCTCTCTTGTCTTAGATATAATGTTATATGTACTGATTTATGAACGATCCGTTTTAACAAAATTTCAAAAGCAGTTTTTTGTGAAAGAAGATGGACAGAGCTGTTAATAATGATTTTAAAAAATGGTCAATTATATTACCACATATGCACGAATATACGAGGGGCGTTCAATAAATAATGTCATTTTGGCTCAGAAAGAAGCAAACGACGATTTTCAATGATTTAGTCTTCATGATTTTACTTATTAATCTATTTTAATTCAAACACATGTCCGCTACATTTTTTATCCATTTTCTGATTGTTTTAGAACTTATTTTTGGGTATGACCCTTAGTATACTGGAAAATGGCAGATCCAATGATTTCCTGGACTTGTTTTTTCCTTCTGAAATGTGTTTTATTCAGGTTTGGAAATAGAAACAAGTCAAAAGGTCAAAGATCTGGCAAATATTGTTAATGTGAAAAACAATAACTTTCTGTTTATCCCGTAAACCTCTTTACTCTTTAGGGCATGCGGATTTAAATGCTGTCGTGAAGAAATTCAATGTAGTGGATTCCTGATTCTGGGTCCTTTCTCTGATAAACCTTTCGATTTTTTTGCAAAAAACTGCTTTCTAGACACCTCCAGATATTAAACTGTCTCCCCAAATACGAATTTGAACAATAATACCACTAATATTTAAGAAAATTGCATATAAATTTGTTTTTGTGCTCTTGCATACCTTTGCTCTTGACAGACCTTCGCCTTTTTTATCAAGTACATCTGATGGTAAAGTTTGTTTTAATGGTTTTAAGCAATAGATTCATGTTCCAATATCTGTTTGAATATAAAACAAACGTGGATTATTACAATTACTGATATTTTAAAATAATTGTTAAGACTTTTGTACACGCTGTCGTTTTCACTAATTTTTCAAAATACAGGGTGACCTTAGAGTACCAAGCTTAATTACTGTCAAACGTTTCTTAAAAACAGTGTAAACTACTCCCGATATGATTTCTATCAAATTTGCTACGTGTCTTAAAGTCAATCATGCAACATCAAATATTATTTGTTGAAATTTGGCAAACAGTACATAAGTTGTTATAATTTTTGTTGACAAGGAGGATACCCATTTTTTATGCCCATTATATAATTTTTTTACCTTTGAAATCCACCTGCTAATTTGTCTATAGAACAGGCATCGGTTGCTGAAAATGTCACATATTTCAGTGAATATTTCTTTGGGATTTTTAACAAGTTTTACAGCAGCTTTAATGTTGCTTTTATTTTCACTCTAGTTTACTGATTCTTTACCATTCATTTATAATGTAGTGTCTCGAGTAGCCCTTGTTTCCCAGCTTCTCACGATAAAACTATGTGATGAAAAGTGGTCACATAAACTGTTATAAATTCATTAAAGATTCAATAATGAGAGAAAGTCAAGCTTTATGTCATATGACTACTATGTTGTATGTAATCGAGCTAATGACATTATTTATTGAACGCCCCTCGTATACATTTATTTACATTATAAATACAAATAAAGTAATTCCACCCTCCCATGATGTCATAGGTTTTTGCAAAAACTGTAATTAGTGTAAATTCATACCTAATGGAACACTATCTCTTAGAAGAATGCTTTACAATAGGTGTAATGATAAATATTGTGAAGTTAAAGAATAAAAAAAGCATATTTTCTATATTTAATCAATTATTCAATCTTTAAAAACTGTTGACAAGGGCAATAACTCCTTCTAAGGTCTCTTCATTTAGGCATTTGCCTTATTGTGAAATAGTTTCCCTGATATTCACAAATCAAAGTATCTTTTAAGAAGGGAGTATAACAAACACTCAGCATCAGAATTATGCATTTTAACCTGTTTTTACATATTTTTCATAAAACTGTTTACAAAAAATATGTGATTTTTTTATGTTGACATACACTTCTGTTTATTTATGTTTCGCATCTAAAATAACATGGTGACCTATACATTTTTTGCAATAATTGGAAAGTTTAAAGTATATCAAATGAAAATAAATGTAGTTTTTGTACTTTGAACCTATAAAATTGTGAAGGAGGGTGGAGTCACCTTAACTGCATAATTTCTTGTTGAAGCCTCCAATTAAGAACACGTTCCTCTTGGTCCTAAACTTCGTCGTCTTCCACAGGGAGATAGACTGCGGAATTGTTGTGCTAAGGTATTCTTTTGTAGACAGACTGTAAGTCCACCTCTTTTGTACTGTGACTTCTGTAATTAATCGGCAAAAGTAATAATTCTTTATTTGAACATTTGATAATGTCATAAAAACGAAAGGGATATTCAAGTGCATTATTCTGTTGTGAATCTCTGCAGTAACGGTTGGATGATTCTTTTGCGCATGTGATTTACATGCAAATGATGTAACCTTTTTTTAACTTATTGATTGATCTAATTTTTTCAATACTCACAACTCCAATGTCCTCAAGTGTAAACAGATAGTATAGTTATTTGGCGCGAGCAATATAATGTCGGTTTTTTAACAATCTCCATTGATGCCAATTAAGTATCCCATTGAAAATAAGCTCCCAGTCTCTAACACGATATCTTGGTATCAACTAGTCTCTGGGAATTATATTTTTAAAGAATTTTGTAACCTCAATATTAGTTTGATAATAAATCTATGTGCAATTTTTTGATTGACAAATTTTGTCTTTCGAATGATTATGTATGAATATGAATATTTCTTTTAGGTATACTGAGTTGATATCAAAATAATATAATTATTATCCTGACGATGGTAATGATGTCGAATATTTTAATATCAAGGTGTCAACTTAGACCCTTAAATAACCCTTTCTGCCCGCATACCATTTCTCAAAAGTTGTATCTGGACTTTGATAACTGATTATAACTGATATCAATTATCATCAAGCTTTGTTCATTGCGGTTGGCCCATTGAGAGCATCCCCTTTTTTGTAATGAAGGAGAAAGATTTTTCTAGGGTGTGGCTTGATGTCAGCTAGTTAATTTCCATCCACTCTCGGTTTGCTATATCAACAGATAAACGGTGCATGCAATTTTGCAATTTGTAAGTATTGAATGACCTGGAAAACCTCAGCTTGATCATTAATGTTAGTAACATGTACCTGTATGGTGTTCAGTTACTGCGAAACACAAAATTGACATTGTTTAAGCTATTTGATCTAACACTTATTAGAAAATCAGTAATAATTTCTTATAATTACTCTTCTGTTCAAGTCTCCAATACACGTCCAGTCTAACGATTTCGTTACAGCCCACTTAGAATGGTCCCTCTTTGCTAAAAAGGAGTAGTTGTCTTGGAACTTCACCTCTCTAATATCATACACCTGCAGTTACATGTATATTGAATAATTTAGATGTACATGTTCTTTGTAATGAAAGATATGAATACAGTATTTAAATATGTGATATATTATTTTTGTCAACTAAAATCAATGCGTTTGTGGAAAACGTTAAAACAGCATTTTTTCTTTGCTGGGAATACCTACATTGATCGTTGAAGGTAACCTGGCTCGCCACGTGAGGACACACAAAGAATCATGCAGTCCAGGTGAAACAAGTTCTTTGTAGATATCTAAGAAAAAATGAATAAAGTTCTTGTTTTGAAAAATACATATTTGATTGTAATGTCAAACCATAATTAACGGAACCTAGGGAAATTTACCGTATTTGAAAAGAGATGATTTTGAAAATATCATCAATTTTTCTCCTCCATAGGTAAAGACAGGAAAAGAAAGATTTTGTCTGTCTGCCTGATTCGTGTGCATTTCATTCTCATTCGTGCTTTTGTCGAAAAAATACGGATTGGTAATTTGGAATATATCTCCTAAGTTAAAAAAAATCAATTTTAATATTAACACATTAACATGAAATAAAATCTATGAATCTAATTTCATCTAATATGTAAACAAAAAAAAAGAAAACACAATGCAAATAGACGAGTCTACGCAAGTTTTAAATGAGTATAATTCAGAATGTTTTGTAAAAGTATTTAAAAAAGGGTTAGTCATAAAACCTTTCAGGTAGGATTTTCATATACGCACCATCATGTGACTCTGATATGAATTAATTTTTACAGATACTAGCAACGTGATTAAAAGGGGAAAATATAACACCTGTGTCAATTTGTGCTTAGATCTAAGGTATATTTTGTAAGTTGATTAAATCCAACCTGGAATTTTAAACATATTGATTGAATGTTTACTGTTTTACGTCCCTCTCCAGAATATTTCAATGATATGGAGACGTCACCATTGCTGGTGAAGGGCTGCAAAATTTAGGCCTATGTTCGGCACTTACGGCTTTTGAGCAGGGAGGGATCTTTGTCGTGCCACAACTGCACGAAGGACCGCCCCATTTAGTCGCTTTTTACGACAAGCAAGGGGGTGCTGATGACTTATTCTAACCCGGGTCCCCACCAAGGGGCGAATTTAAAATATAAACGTACTCATTGTTTGTAACAATGTGAATCGGACAGTCACACATAATACAGTCTGTCCATATTCCAGTTGGCTTTCTCCATACAGATAACCAATGTTTTTAGGTTGGGGAAACTTCGGTATGCTTGATATCATCCAAAAACCAGATTCGTCATCAAAAGCATAGGCACCTGTAAAGACATGTTTTCAATCAGTGATTTCGAAGGAGTAGCCTTATACAAATTGATAATAACTCCTGGAAAAGTCAAATGTTCATATACGCATTGTCTGGCAAAAATCCTTTTCTGAATACATTGTACATTCTCCTGGACTATTAAGCTTTTTGATAAATCTTGAAACTCAAAAATACGCGGCCGAAAATAATAATAAAAACTATCATCGGACATATATGGACAATTTGAATAGATTGTACCTAACATTTGAAACAACTTAGCTTCTTTAATGTATTAAAGATTTTTAATAGTTTTTGAGGTATACTGGTGTCTCATTATATCGCGGTACTTAATCCTTTTGCATAAAAAGTGTTATTCCAATTTTTTACTTTTAACTTTCATCAAAAAATATTCATAAGCCAATCTATGGACTAACTTTTAAGTGTCGAATTATTTCCCAAACTTGCATCGTTTAAGTTATTGTCTATTTTTAAAACAGGAAGTCTTATTTACCTCATAAATTGGAGAGTCTCATTGTATCGCGGTATGGAAAAACATGGAAACTTGTATGTGACATGGACCTCAATTTTTATTTTTTAATTTACGATGTAATTCTACAGGAAAAGTAAACAAATATACAAACTTAAGACCTTTAAAAGATGAACTATAGTATAATTTTTACTAGGTTATAAATTCAATGGTTAAAAATAATAAAAACGTGACTGGAAATCTGTAAAATTACGTATTTTTTAAATATTTTTTTTCAAACGGTTGTTCCATACTTCTTAATAATTAAAAAAGTAATATTCAGACAACATAAACATATTGTCCATCAATAAAAAGAATAAGGCTATGTATCCAAATTTTTGCGACATACCGCGATACTACGAAACCCGCGATATAATGAGAATCGAGTATATAAGGAAAATAATTTTGGTCTCTTTAAATCCCTGATTTTAAGGGTCGGCCCTTCTTATCTGATAATCGATGAAAGACTTTGTGATTGTTCAATTGCTTTGTTCTTCATGTTATAACAAATTATCTACAGGAAAAAAGATATTAGAAGAGCTTCGAAAATTTTGAAATTTCAAATACATGTACCTTTTTTGGCCCATAGCGAGTTACGGTGCGCGGCAATTTTGTTAAATATGAAATACGTTCATCACATCTACATTTATTGCTCTAATAAAATAAATCACCAAAAATCTCAAATTTCTATCTTTAGCTATTTTAGAGAAACTCACGGACAACCTGGCCTTATAAAATTCACGAAAATGCTGAAATCCCGGAGCCGAAAGTGACATCACCAAAATAAGAAATATGTCTAGACTTTTTCGTGTTCTACCAGACTTGAAAGTTTCACAAAAATCGAGTGAGCCATTTTCGAGAACTCGCGTGCATAAAATCTGTTAGAAAAAGATGTGGAAAAGAAACCTAGGAATAACAGTAATGTCTTCCGCTGAAGATGGAAGACCTAGTAATAATGAGCGTACTAGAAAAATATATTAATCCCATGAAAATGTGTGATTGACCACCAACAAGTCGTCAACAGGCATTCAAGTAATTGTCAACTGGAAACACTTGATAACATATAACTAGTATTTGAATGCTTACCTAGAAAGCAGTCAACTGTTCTGCATAAGATGGTCAGATGACCGTCAGAATCTTCATGACATTAATTCTATGCGCCCAAATTAATAGATTCGGGGCGTATATTGTATTTGACCAGTCTGTCTGTTTGTCTGTCTTTTGTCAAATTAATCTTCTCCATGACTTTTGAACCGTGTAATATAGAAACTTCATATTGGGTTTGCTTACTCCACTAATTAAACTTTTTCAAGAGACATCAACGTCAATTACCTTTTGACCCTGACTGCGACCTTTGTGCAAAAATAGATATTTTAAAGCTTTGTCATTACTTTTGAACCAAAGGAGAGAGAGAGTTCATATTCTGAATGCATGCTAGACCAATTAAGTTTTAAAAAAAAATCAAGATCAAGCATATTGTGACCTTAACTGTGATCTATGTGCAAAATTTTTTTGGAGCTTTCACCAAAACTTTTGAAATATTGGAGATAGAAATTTCAAATTTGTTATGCATACCCTACAGCTGTACCAGTTATTTGCTTTCAAGCGATGAAGGACAATAGCATTATGACCTTGACAGTGGTACATCTGCTAAAATAGCTTTTTTGAACTTTGTTGCTGAAAAGAAGTGTCAACTGAATACTCCATTTAAACTACCATTGTATATAGTCGTATGGGTTCGTGAAAATTGCTTTTAGCAGAAATTGAATATAAACGCTTATTTCATATTTAATTTTCCAGCACACATAAAAAAATATCTTCTAGAAGCTTAAAATGTTTTAAGGATGGCTTAATGTTGGAATTCTTCTATTGGAATATTTTCTATTCTCCTATCAGAGGATTTACATTTTTCATTGCAATGTGATGATTCATATTCAAGTTCTCTGACATTCTCGGCTATGTTAAGGAAGGTCAGAGTTCACATTCCTTGTACATCGTATTGGAAGTTTAATTGTGACGTCATTGAAATTTAACAAGCCATAAAAATTAATTAACGGCATGATCATGCGTAATTAACAACTTGAATTAATTTATTTTTATCGATTATTCATAAAATCTTGACAAATTGCAATACTAGATAGCAATACAGTCGAGTAATAGAAGAAAGCCTTTTGTTAAATATGACGTCATCAGCCTTGACATGACGCAACACTAGTGATCCAGAGGAGTAGATTCACTGGTTTAATAATTACAAGAATGCTTAAATAAATATGATATCATTGCTAATTTTTAGACCTAATCATTAAAACTAAAAGAAAATTATTTATTAAATACAATGTGTATAGAATATGAATTTATCTAGTAGCATCGAAGCTACACATGGATAAGGCATATAGAGAATATCGCTCAAAAGATGAGCCTATTCGTGATTTACATCAAAAGTGCAAGGGCATAGACTATTTTGTTTGAGCTGAAATTTGGAATATTTATTGCTCATATAGTGTATATTTTGAAAAGTGCTGGGAGCTGATCCTGGTCTGCATAACATTGATTTTATTGATAACAAAATTTAAGCGAAGTGGAAATTTTTAGCTATTATAAGCATTTTCGGCAAAATTTTAAGTACTTCGCAAACAGCACTGACTAGCTCCCAGCACTTTTTGGGTAGAGGATATAAACCTCTTTTAATGTGTATCAATTTCTTTCTTGAAAAACAAGCGAATGCCCTTGCACTATCCCCATTTCCTACATTCAGCTTAACAATTCTATTTTGATACAAGTCACATGACAAACAGCTGATACATGCGATATAATTGGTAATAACTACGGCCCAGTCCTATCCATAATTGATAGCTATATTACATTTTCTACAAGTGTTCAGTTGCTTTGTTAAAAATTTTTAAAAGAAGCAATACATATTAAAACGGTGCAAAGGTTACATTTTCCATATCGGTCCTTAACATAGCTGAGTTAACAAAATGTGTCAATTTATAAAATAAAAAAGAGTCAACCTTTTGTGTGTCCATATTTCCTTCCACCGCTTCCAGTTGGAGGTTGGTCATTATACATAGCGTATTCAAGTGGTTCCTTAAAAAGCAATAGAGATCATAAAATATTAATTAGTTAAACAATTGCTAAGATTTTTCCTTTTTTAAAAGTTGATATATTCATGAATTTAATTTCGAAATCATTTACGTTTCATGATCAATAAATATTATGAGGTCCTATTGTACTAATTCATTTTTTTTTTTTAAAAACCAGATCGAATTACGTCTGTTACCATTTGAAAGGATATCTTCTAACAATACATTTTATATACACCTGTATTTAGTTCAGTGATTCTTCATATTAGTGGTATTTGCACTTTGTTTTCATAGTTTGACACTGTTCAGATCATTATAAAGGTTTTACACCTTCTCATGTATATTATATTATGAGTGAATAAAGTTAAATTTACATTTAACAAATAAATTGTGAGGGTCTATCAGGTTTCTTTATCTGCTTTAATTTTTTTTGTTTTGCAATGCATGTATTTGATCTTCACAGATGCAGGTCTTCGGATTTTCCATATACTTTCCGATTTCTCAATATTTGATTTATACCATGTCATAAAGTCATTTTCAAACAAAAGAAATTCTGTTTTTATTTCTTCTGAGTCTTAAATACATGTAAGAGTTAGAATTCAATTTACTTCACATGTAACCCCATTTTGTCAGTATCCTATAATTTGTAAATCTGGAGTGTGAGTTTGAAGAAGATTGATTTTATTGAGTTTTAATAATTCATATCAAGAATGGTGAAGAAATTCTGCATGTTTCCACATTTCTTAACTATATTTCATTTATGTTGAATCGGATTCACAAGAAGAAATAAAGAAACATGATGCCAAATAAGTGGAATTAATACACAAATTACACTTGCTCTAGAAAATAATCGAGGACTAAAATGAAAGTTTTAGGTAATGTACACTTATACCATGTACATATGTTGTAATATTGGTCTTTAGAAATGATTCACGGATCTCGATATAACTTTGCGCTCTTAAATGCATTTGGAACATATTGTTAACCTGAAGTACTTGCTCTCTTGTAGATTACTTTATGATTTTTGTATAAAATTACTAATTTTCTAGGAAAAAATATAATTGTAGTTATTGTCAGGTTTTTTTAGACTTCTTGTAGGGTATTAGTGTGGAAATCTTAGAAATTCATTTAATTTTGTATCCATATCTCAAACAGATATAATAATTCTACAGAATTTAAGTAGTATTTATGAGTTTATAATAGTCTTTAAATGGCGAGAGAGAGAGAGGGAGAGAGAGAGAGAGAGAGAGAAACACTTTTAGAAACCTACATTATCATAAATTTGCTGCAGTGTGTGAAATAACGGGTTTCCTTCAGAATCGTTCACGCTGTGTTCTTTGTACATCAACGTTGAACTGGTGTTGTCTGCATAATAAAACGTTTCCTTGTTTTTCACATTGCCCATTTTGATCATTTTTGCTGTAGCCCGTGGAACTTTGTACAAAACGTACCTTGCCAAATTCAGAAGAATAGGATTAGTGTTTACGTATAGCTCAACTCAACAAAAAAAATATCTTTTAATTGATTAATAATGGATCCATTTTAAAAAATCAAAAAATATTAATATATAAAAAGACATCAAAACAAGTTTTGGAATTATATCTCCATATGTACTGAAAATGAGTAAATGTTATAACTATTGTAGATAAGTTATTCTATTTGTCGCAAAATATGTGTTAAAAAGATATTTTTTGCTGATTCATTAAGCCAAGACCTCCATCGTATATCCTATCTCTAATGTTTCGAAGGTCCTTGTTTGCTTTGATCTTATTTTGTATTGTTTAATGACTTTTGAAAAAAGATTTTTGTTCGTTATTTCCGTAGTCTTCATTTAGCACCAGTCTTAATTACTTGACGACGGGTGATAATATTGAGAAAGAGTATTCGTACGCAGAATGAATGCGTGCAATGTTCAGTTATATATATTATTCAAAGCATTCAATCGGCACAGACAGCTTGTTTCTTATTTGCAACCTTCTTCTATCTAAACACACGAGAATTTATTTCTTCAATATGTTTGATTGAAAAACCCGTCTTACTTTAAATTTATGCTATTTTATCTAATAATTAATTCGAGGAATACAATACACAGTAATCAAAATAAAATAAGTAAAAGGTTTTCTTGTAAGATTTTTCTACTTGCGTAGTTAAAAATGCTTTCTTTTGCTTTACCTCACCTTGCCACACATTGTCGGCATTATTTTGCCCCCTCCATGCAAGAAAAAAGTATTTTAACCCAAATAAATCATCGCTAGTTAAATAGAATCCAATTGCCTGAGATAGTCATGTGACCGTCCTATTACATGTAGCTCTGCAACAAAACGTTTTGTTTCAAGTCGAGTTTCACGATTGTGACGTAACAATGTGGCGGCTGAAATTAATACTGAGTTAGATTGTTAATTTCGTTGCGTTGCGCACAAGGAATACGATTTTTCATGGGAGAAAAATCTTCATGTCTCCCTCACTATTATGAATAATGTGTATAATGTTTACTTAAAACATTGCTGTGACGTCATGCCTTTGTTCTTGCAGTCTAAAAATTTACCTGTAGCTGTCCGATAATAGTAATTACCAGTCTGATGATATATTATCGGACGGCAATGATAACAAAATCGGACGGTATTTAAAAAACAAAAAGAAGAGTGAAATTAAGGTTAAATATGTCCAGAAACCCCCAATAAAAATGCTAGGAAACAAATTCAGGGAAAGCAAACGCAAGGAAACTAAATTGCTACAAAATAGCAAATCCATGAAAAAAAATTCCAAGTTTAAACCTTCCACAAGATTAATATTTTCCACTCTTTAAAAGAATTTTTGATACAGCACTTTGAATAAGCGAATTTAAATCCATTTCTTCAAAAGAGTCTGCAAATCTTCTTATTTTATGTTTGTTCCCCGATGGCTACGCTTTTATAACCTGAGAATATTTCCATTATCTAAACTAAAACTTCAGGGTAAAAATACGCATTTTTACTTTCCATGGTGATGGTTATAATATCACCCAAAAGTATATCGGTATCAATGTCAATTTATGCATATCATAAATAAAATTGTTCCCCCCAAATCTTTTACCACCGGACCCCTGTCCTGCTAAACTAAACGACTGCCATTGAATGAATGAAATGATACAAGACTTCACTCACTTTTTTACTGTCTCATTTCTTTTATCTACTTATCAGACAGGTAGAAAACAATGGCTGCCTTAACTCCCATTGTGTTATTATCGGACTCCTCCAGGTAACTTTTGGACATTTAAATGGCAATGTTTTAAGTAAGATATATGCCTCATACTATTCTATATATGTAAAATTATCAGACAGTTTTCGGCACTAACGGGCCTCAAACAATCTGATAATTTTACATATAGAACAGTATTCGGCATATATCCATTACATACATCGTGATTATGTATACATTAAACTTACGCAGGGGTGATAAGGAAGCATACAGAATATTTCACCTTGACTAAGTCAGTGCTTCATTATGACGTCATAGTTGGCGAGATGACGTCAACACAGGTTTTCGTAATATTGGTATTTATAGATGTAATTTAACACTAAGAAATAGATTGAAGCATGTAAAAATAAACAACAATTAAGATGTTTTAATTTTGTTGTGCTGTATCTGTCAATTTGATTCAGATCTAACAACGATGGCGTCATGTGTGTGCATAGAGTAACTTGGGAATTGATCGTTTCGTATAAAGAGAATTTGTCCACCACAGCATGTACAAAAATACGTAAAATTGAGTTTTAGAGCAATTTGAAATATTGGAAATAGGACGTGAAATTCATGTGGTGTTAGGTTAAATAAACAGGTATGGTAATTTATTTTCATCAAGTATATTCTCTGTCAAAGACAGTCAGCTACATTCGTATCACAGTCGTCCTTTCCTCTGTCTTCCATGACAAAAATAATGCAACAGACAACAATAAGCTGTGTATTTCAAAACATAAGATTTGTACATATGAAAAGTTTGCCTTCTAAGATATTAGAGAGGTTTAGTTACAAGTGACGTAACAACGTGTACGCGTAACATTGACGTACACGTTCTATTTGACGTCAACGTCAATAACATGATTTAGTTTTAGGTAAACGTGTACGTATGCAAATTTCGTGATTGAACAGTTAATTAATTGAACGGCATTGTATTTATTATTTTTAATTTAGACAAGTCAATGGTGAAATGGAATGTATACTTACTCTAGTCATAGATACCATAATCTATGAAAAATTATTATATGTATTGTCATCTCGATGCAGTTAATCGCTCTAAATATTTTGTCACCTAGTATCTCTACAGGATATTAATTAAGCTTTTGATTCTGCACCACTTTAAAAATGGTAGCAATCATAAAATTATTCAATTATTATTTATTTGACGGTAAAAAACGACCACATTTTGCACTTTGTGGAGGATGTGGGGTGTCCAAAAGAAAACCTTTTGAAAACGATAAAATGTGAAGGCTCAATCAATATAACGTCTAGAAAGGAGGCATAGAATAAAATTTAAACACATCAACACATTGTTAAAACCAAAATCAGACAACACCCCCCCTTTTTTTAAATACGCGCCTGCTCTAGATTATACAAGTAATAGAACAAAAGAAACAAAATAGTTAATGAAATACAATTTCAACAAGCACTTGACGTTACACATAGGCTTACTACCTATAACTTATTAGGCGAGGGGTTATATTTTTGTTATGTCACTAGGGCCTATGGACGTTATATAATAGTTCTAAAATATTTTATCATAAAAAAAATAAAGAATATAGAGGTGTTAAAATAGGTTTTAATAAAAATAGCAGAAAGGGAAAAATCACCAAGACACCATGAATTTATATTTGGTGCATTGGCGGGCGATGTCTTCTTGAAATGAATCCTGCGTACAAAATAATCATGTTGTTTGGTATCAGTTTGAGTTTAACTTTTCATTGATAAAAATACTAATAGTTTGATGGAATCATCGAATCATCGTTCATTAAAGCTTAGAATAGATAGAATAGTGTTCTTGTTTTATTGCACAAAAATCTATCAACTGCAAAAAAAAAAGAATTTGATCCAAAACTTTACCCGTTTACATCGTACGTGTAGACAGTGTATTACACGTTCTAAACTTGTAACTACACGTCGAAGAACACAACAATTGATGACGTCACCGGTACAAGTTCGTCGCAAAACGTGTAACTAAACCTCTCTACTTTTAACTCTTTACAACTTATTAAATTGTTATGCAACAAAGTTAACACTTAAATGTTAAATTCATAGAAATTTACCATTTCCCCACAAGCACCTTATAGCGTGGTACACGTTTCTCTTAAGTTTAGAGTTAATGATATTATGACGTTATATTTTAATATAGAAATAACTTTTTGTATTTTATAAGATATTTGCAAGTATGAAATAGATAAAAATTGGCATTAAATTAAAAAATAAATGAATTTTTTAAAGTGCGTGAAAATGCGCGATTGCGGGGAAATGGTATATGCGTGATTTTGCGTTAGAAAAAGGAAATGATATATGCGTTAAAATGCGTGACTGCAGGGCATAGGGTTGAAGTGCTGCTAGAATCCCGAGTTAATCATGGTTTTACGAAAATTCTGGGTTTGTATGTGTAAAATACAAAACATGGGTAATGTTTCGTGCAAATATGTGTTATAATTATTTTACTGATCGGACAGTGGGATTCTAGCAGCAATTTTTAGGCAAAATAAATGTTTTTCGACTACATTATTTATTCAAAGAAGTTATTAAACTCTGGGGTATTGTTGTTCTGTTAGCTTTTTTATTAAGGAATATTTCTCTATTAATAGAAGTCACGTGATGTCGTGGTGGTTGTGCATGTCATTGCGTTAGATGCATATTTATGCAATAGCTTAAAAATATGTTTATCAGTGGTTTTGGCAAATTATCAAACTCATTTTTGTTTAAGAATTCTAATTTCCAGATAAATGATTTTTATGCTTTCTTAACATACCCGCGTATTTATGTCTATATGCAAAATAATATGTTGACATACAAGTTACCAATCTCTTAAGAAAATTTTATTTTCTGTTTTGTAAACTTGATTCCTAAGTCCATGTTACTGTATCGATATCGAATGATGATTGTTAAAATCACATAACTTTACAAAGTTGAACCTTCCCCCTAATATAAAACCTTACTTTTAATATCCCAAGATAATATTCTGTGTTTCTTAAGGTAACACTTGTGCTTATTAACTTTCTGATTAACATGTTTATCCTGCTGTCAATACACTGATACTGACGATACCGTATCAATATCCAATTATAATTGTTGAAACAAATTAATTTTAAGAAATTTTACCTAAACCAAATATCTTGCTCTAAGCTTACTCCTTGACAATAACAACCCCTAACCCTTTCTTTATCATCCTTTCCATATTCATACCAATAATGAACAAAAAACATTGATGTAAACATCAATTGTCGCCCTGGAAATAAATTAGGTCAACAGTGTAAATTTAGTCGTCTTGGTCGTCAGACATCAAATGATATGTGTTTTAAAGGCATACGTCTAGGTGAAAAGATGATAGTCACGATTGCTTTGAAAACGTTAATTCGGATGAAAATTGAATAAAAACAATACATATTCACACTTTAATAATTCCTCAAGTAAATGTTAGCTGCATAAAATATAAATTGAAACCAGACACATGCATCACCTATATTCAAAAATGTACTTCACTTTCAGAATTTAAAACACGAACTATATAGAGTACATTTTTGTGGTAAGTAAAATTCGATGTTCTAAAAAGAGGACCAGTTGTTTTTTCGATAGTAAATGATTAGCTCCCAGCTCAATCCCCATACACCAACACTTAAACTTACATGTATAGAAGCAGCCCGGTCCTCCGGACTCCAATAAATATTGAATCACTTGTGGTCTTTAAAAAGTTTTATATCTTATTGAGAATATTAATTGGAATTACAGGATAGATGTCAATACGATATCGTCATAGGTTTGACAATATCGACGAAATTGACATAGTACCACGTCTCATGTATGGTACCAAGCATTTCCAATTAATAGTGCTAATCAGGATCGATATGATATTGACATAATATTGTCGATATTGACATCAAATTCGTTTTTAGACATCTACGAAAAAAATGTGTGCGTGATTTTTAAGTTTTGTACAAATTTCATTTCTCAAAATATGTTCTTTGTCAAATTTGAACAGAGAAAAAAATAATCGAAGTGATATAAAACTGTCTCTTACCAGTCCACAGCAGCACCGTTACCATTGCGACAAGACAAATTTGAATTACTTGCGACGAATTTGAAAATTATGATGCAAAAAAACAACATTATCAGTACATTTACGCATAGACCGATAACTGTTGTGAAATAATTTTTTATGCTTGCCTATTTAATAGCGCGTTTTTAATTTCTTCCGCATGTTGGAACGGTATACGATTTATGATATTATAGTCATGTTTCATATTTACAGTTTTGAAAGTTGTCTCGAGGTGTTTTGAATTTATTTAATTGGATAAAGTAAAATTTAATTTTCATACAGTATTGCAATTTTCACCAAACAAAGAAGAATGTGTGGTTTTAGCGTTATTGCTCCCTAAAATTGTATTGACATCAACAAGTTTTGAAACTGGTTTATACATGTATATTAGTTAAATAAATGACTCTGATAAATCAGGGAAGAATACGGCATGAAGGTTTTCCATTCCGCAGATATGACGCCATTAATGTAAAACATTTCTCTATTTTCAATAGAAAAAGTCTCAAAATGGCACATTTCAAGGGTGATTTTCATTTAAAAGACAGTGTCCATAGCCGTCGCCCACGTTAATTTTTTGATATTTTGTGCAAAATTCATTAACAAATCACATATCTGAAGATCTTTGTGGGCGATGCCTGTGGACAAAGTTATCTGAAAGAAATTTTATCGAGAATTGGTCTCTTCTGCAACTTCTTAAGGAAATACGGGAAAATTCACATATTTATGACATCATAATTAGCATTTAAAAACACGTGTGAGAAAACGACGAGTATTATTTTTCTGCATTGAATTTCAATTATTTAAAATGCATGAGTTTTTACTTTTACACCAGTTTCATTTTTTTGAAAAAAAAATCACAGGGCAAAATTTGTATGGAAACAATACGTTCTTCTTTTCTAATCCTTTGCGTTTTCCTGTTTGATAAAAAAAAACCCATGAAATAACTCAAAAAATAATTTAAACAAAACTTGATTTATTACATTTTCGAAAAAAAGTTTTAAGTTAGCTTTTATAACAAGATTTAAGATTACCCATAGGTGTGTGATTCAAGAATTGTGATACTCTAAAACATCTAAAGCATTGTTTTTAAAAGTTTAAAACCATTCAAACTTTTTTATCTGTTTGATTCTTTAACATCACATTAAAAAAAGGTTTCTCTTATTGGTTCGCCACAATATTTGCCGATGGGGAGGTGCAAATTCATAACTGTGCTCGTCACTAGCTTGCATCTGTTCTGTGGGGAACTTTTTTACGGTTTATTCTTTGAATTAGATATAATGTTATACATATTACAACATCTGAAGACAATTCACTGGGGTCTATAAGCGGACTCTTGAAAATGGAATTGCATGTATATGATGACAAAACTGTTTTGATTTTTACTGATTTTGAAATTGGAAATTATAAACATGAGATTAATTAAATTATTTTATAAAAATCAGGTAACGATAGTACTTACAGTTACACATTTTTAATAAGGTTTTCCCTGCAAGTGATTGGCAAATTTGCCTCCAAAAATATTAAATTGTTGTACAAAAGCACGAAAGGTATTAACTATTGATGAACTGTTGAAGATTACATGAGAATAAAGCGTTCTTTTCAAAGTGCATTTTAATAGGGTCCTACAGAAAAAAGCAATTTCAAGTTGTTTTGTACGAAAGAGTTATGTTCTTGTATATATATATATTTATTTTTTTTATATAAAAACTTCCATTATCTTTGGATTTATTAAAAAAATAAAAAAATAAATAAAGACCAATGTTAAATACGTATCTGGGAAATGAACTTAGTTGGTCATATGATCAGATCCTCCTGTGAAGCCCTTTGACATTTTTTTAAAAATGTTACTTATTTATATTTACATTTTAGAATAATAAATGTTGAGTAAAACTGCATGTATTACACGAACAGGCCACCGTATTGATATTTTGTGACGATCAATGACCTAGAAGTTGATTGGTCTTGAAATTTTATCTCTCTCCAACATTTGAATATTTACATTCATGTTTAGCAGTCCAGCATTTGAAAATATCTGTTTATATAACATTTTAAAGATTGATTGATTGATTGTGTGTTGTTGAACGTCCCTCTCGAGAATTTTTCACTCATATGGAAAAGTCACCGTGTGCCGGTGAAAGACTTCAAATTTAGATCTATACTTGGCACTCAGGGCCATTGAGCAGTGAGGGTTCTTTATCGTGCCAGCACCTACCGTGACACGGGACCTACGATTTTAAGGTCTTATCCGAAAAACCCGTGACTTTCACATATGATGCCGAGCGCTTGGCGAAGGAACAGTCACTACCTATTTTTACATCTTAGATTTGACGCGGCGCCGCAAACGAGAATCAAACCCGGGCCTCCCGATCACTAAGCGAACGCTCTTTCACTAGGCACCGTGAACGGTAACATTTTCAAAGAAGTTTTCCCATTATGTCACAAATATAATATCTTTATCCATATGCCGTGAAAAACTGCTTATTCACGCCGGATATAGTTATATTTCACCGGAAACAGTTATACTGCCCTCCTGAACACAGTTATGTTCCCTCGAGTGCAATCATTCTGCGTATTAAATACGTCGGGTTCGAAATTCACAGAGGCAGTTGCTACAGCAAACGTAAACAGTTCCATGGAAATGAATAGTCGGGACAACGTCAGTTAATTTAATTGAGGAAAAAGAAATTCACTAAATACAACAAAGGTTATCAACACAAGTGTCAGTATACTGAAGGCATTCTCAAATGAAACAGGACTTGATTTTTCGGAATTATACTCAACGTACATGTGTACATAGTGTTCAATAAAATGTTCGATGATCGATTAGGGCTCAATAATTAAAACTGAAAATGTTATATACCATATATAACATGGCTTAATTCTCTGGCAGCAATACCAGAAGATTTGCCCCTCGTTGACAGGGAAGCCCTGGAGTGTCATGTCACCCTCTGCCTCCGGCATCGGGCGACATAACACTCCAGTGCTTTCCTGTCACTTTGGGGCATATATTCTGGTATGCTGCCCTCTTGTGATTTTGTCAGACTTCAAATTTTATCACTTTAGTTAATGACTACTCAAAAATTTTTGAAAATATATCATGGAACGAACTTTCTTAAACCCCTTACATGTAGCATTGCAAAGACCTCAGTGGTAAACAATCATTTAATGTGATTTGTTGATATTGTAATAGGGAAATGTTCTCCCCCGGGTTTTTTTGCCCCTTTTGCCCTTGTCACACGTTGAATTAAAAACGGAGCGAGTTAAAAAAAAAACACAGTAAACTTTCTTAAACACATCTGTGACTGGGCGAATTTAAAACGGGACAAAATTGTAAGCAAGTGTACATGTAAAATGGCGAAATCAAAATGAGGCGAAAATAACCTTGCATACAGTAATATTTTTAATGTGGTATTTCAGTGGTTAGGATATTTCACTTAATAAAGAAATACTGGATATTAAGTAACAGACGCATGTGCAGCAGAAAAAGGGATCATGACGTTATAAGAAACGTAATTTACGTTTGCTTTCGTGCGCCGTTGTACGCTTATATGCTTTCTTTAATGTTTTCACGATTTTCTTATTAGATGTAAAATCATCAGGAAACTTGAAATGCATGATCCTTAAATGTTACTTTTTGCTATAAAAAGGAAAGAATTAATTTAGCAATTAGAAACTAAACTTTTTCCCCTGTCTACGACTTTATGGAACAATCCTCGTAATGATATCAACGTTATGCAAAAATATGCAATATATTCCCCAGGTTTGTGATGTTTATGAATTCAAAAAGAATAAAAAATTGTACATATATAAATTCTACGAAGCAGGAAAACAGCTTTTTATCTAAGATTGTAGATATTGCAAATCAAAGTATTAAGTCATGTGCTAATACTGTGAGCTAAAATCCATTATCTTTTGTAAAAAGGTAAGAGCATTATTTTTCTATATCTTCACTGATAAATTCCTGATGTTCGTGCAGTCAAATAAAAAAGACAAGACAAGGATACACCAGGCCAGGAGAAAAGTCAAGAAACTGACATTTCGTTGGGATGGTTTAATAACGGGTACTGAAACATTGCATTTCTGGGGTAAAGGTAATGTGACATGTACCCTTCAGTTAAAATAATTAGGAAGTAGAAAAAACGATATGTTACATGTAAGAGACATATATGTACTGGTCAAAAATCATTAAAGACATTCATGCCTGTTTTTTAATCCAAATTTAGTACCATAAATATATTTTTTGTAAATGGAACCGGCATGATACATCGCAAGCGGAAGTTTTTTTTTTTTCCTCACTACATCATTTTAATTAGGTATATCTTTAATAGCTTCAATAGTATATAATTGTCCTGTTTTCGACGAAATACCGATTAAAAGTATGGATGTTTTGATTACCCGGAAATTATTATTACCGGCAAAACTCCAGGAAAATCTAACATAGTAAATAATGAATATATATATACATATAAAGATGAAGTTTCATTCGGCCCAAGTGCAAGTTATTTTTTTAAGCTGACCAAAGATATCGTTACTGACTTTTATTTCTTATAACGATATCATCAGTAACGAACAAAAGAAATAGAATATTCTGGGAGAAGGAAATAATATTCTTGGAAATTCTATGGTCATAATATAAACTTTTACACACCATTTACTAGTCATCCAAACAATAATAATTGGTCAATCTAAATGCAAAAATTGCAATTCAAAGCTTAAGAATAAACATTTTTGTTCTAACAGTATTCAATTGTTTATGCGTATATTCATTATTTAACAGATTTGAATAATCATCTTTTGTAACGAATTGTAAAAGATCTCAAAAATTGATCAACTGACTTTATTTTTATTTAGTATTTAGATAAAAATTCTAATGAAAATAAACTTTAAGTTCATTACATCCAATGTTTTGTAAAATTTCCTTTTCTAACACATTCGGTAGTAAAACTTGAAAGAAAAAAAAAACGTACATATTGTTGCGAGTTTGCTTCTTAGACATTTGCAGTACGGTCATAACAAATTACGGATACAGCAAACTAAATTCACATGTCCCAAACCTTCGCTATAAAAAAAT